GACCACATCTGCCCACCGAGCTGTCAGTCTAACCCTATTCCGATCCTTTGGTCGCTGGAATGGAATCACTGCGCCTTGCACATCGACCCACGTACCGGTGTTGCTCATGCCAGTGCCAACTGATGACCCCGGCGGAGATGGCGAATGGAGCACGGCAAGCAAGTCAACAACGCAGGAACAGGAATAACCCAGGGAAGCAAAGGGACTTCGCACTTTGTGCAAGACTGAGGTGAGAGTGGGATAAAAGGAGGGGGGTCATGGCCAGCGGTCAAGAAGAGGCAAGTCGCTCACAGTAAACGCAGGGATGTCACTGACGGGGGGATACGTACACAGGCACTTTATTCTGTACACACAGGGACAGGCTCTGAGGGAGTCGATCCCTGGTCGCCAATCATTGAGATCCAGTGTTACCGTTCGCTGAGGCTGAAGGGATGGCCCCTGGCTGCTCGGCCGCGTTGATTACCATGATTTTCATTCGCTTCCCTCGTCTCTTGACAACCCGGCACCTTAATTGTTCTTCCGGGAGCCATTCGTCGGCGAATCTTTGTCTTGGGACGGGTGGAATGCTGAGGGATAACATGTCCTCTACTTCGTCGTCAAATCTCATGCCGCAAACGGTCTCACCCTACGCCTCGGTCATCCCAAAATCAGGGACTTGGGGTCCTCAGGGTCTACGGATTAATGGGAACAAAGTGTGTTCGCTGCACAATTACAGGCTCTGTTGATTGTTCATGGCTCGCTAACTCAGGACACCGCTGCAACTTGGCCATTGCAGCTCCCTTGGCTTCTGCTGGGCGATTCCGCCGAGCCGTCGTTCCTGGCCAAACGCGCAGTCTGAATGGCCCAGTGTTTCCAGGCTTTTCGCCATCGTCCAGGCCCCTGAGCGATTTGACTGGCCAAAATCAGTTCTTGGGCTTGCCAGTGTGGCAGCATTGCTGACTGGACTGGGCCGCTCAGAGGGCTTGACAGCCAGCCAGGGCCCCTCATCCAGGGGCGAACGGACACAGACTAGGAAATGACAGGGGAGGAGACCGGACGAACAAGGATACGGGCTCGGGTGAACACTCGCCCTCGACCTATCGGCTAGTGTAGTGCCAGTTGGACCAGTTCGCGCAAGATGCCAAGCACAACAACCAATCCTTCTCATGAACTGCTGCTGATTTGCTGCTTCTCTCTCATGGGTCCGACTGACCCTGAACTTGACATGTCTCCTCGGCTTCGCACATGGCACGAAGCTGCAGGAATTCTCGACTTGTATGGAAGATCCACCAAAAGTGACCGAACACGACGGGTCCTTCGGGTCTCTTCTTGGCCTCTCATCCACCGTCCAACAAGGTCTCCTCTGCCCAGCCGCCAAGGAACACGTTGAGATGAACGAAAAGAAATTCCAACCATTGGCTGGGCCACCGACTTTTCAATCCAAAAGACCTCGTGGTTCCCTTCGTTGTCTCGCCTTGGTGACCCCATGGGCCGACCGTTGGAATCGACTCGCCTAGTCGGCGAGTGTCTCCAAAGCCAGAGACAATATTGATAACATCTTCATCCGTTGAGATTCCCGTTGGTCTCCATCGGTCATCCGCATCTTTGGGCCCTGTTTGGCGCCAGGCTTGATCTGATTCACTGAATTGAGATCCAAGCCGAGACCAAAGCCGTTCGGTCCAACGCCACGAGGTCACCAGCACAGGCTACTCTCGATTCTGCGTACTAGTGTATCAGAAGGCATCCGGATTCCGATGTGGTGTGGAACGGTGACACAGACATTGTTCACAAACGGGGCCATAAGATGCGCGGCTATCGTCGTATCCATTTGGGACCCAACCATTTTCCTCCCTTCCGGAATGCTGGAAGACACGGCAACTGACGCTCGGGGTGATGACGAACTGATGGGTATTCAATGGAGGAGCGAATTCCCAAAAGGAGTTCGAAAGCCTAACCCACCGTCCACTCATTGCTCAAGCTGTCTGAGCATGTGAATCAACCCCTCACATAGTCATCAAACCACGTCTCAGGCATAATGCTGTGCCGTATCTCTCGGCCGATTCTGCTGTGGCATTCGCCTGACGTTCCGTGGTACCGCTCTGGAACTTACCGTGCTCTCGACTCATCAACCAAAGCATCAAGTATTCTTCTTCCTTTTGCCATGACTGACATCAACGGTATCCCTATCTCATCTACCCTGCAAGTCGTAAATTGCAACCGAGGGATCGTAATCGAACGTTACTCGGATCTCCAGTACTACTGGAACCATTCGGTCGGCTGTTGAACGGACGTTATCTACCCCTCAATGAAATTTTAGACTCATACGCTTGTCATCGAGGACTCCTGTCACGGCTGCAGTTCACAGAGTCTGTGTGGTCTGTCAGGAGTCAAAGCTCGGTCTGATCTTGATAGCAATCAACCCTTTCGGCATAGGGCATCCCGGCCCTCGCATGGCCCCCGAACAGCAACCAAGCAAAAAAGCCAAGACACACAGTAGAGGGTATTCACAAGGGACTCCATCGGAGACGGAGCGATGAACCGACTGGGTAAACCATCCCACGTTCTTGTCTCCTTCAAACCACCAGCGAATTTTCTTCAATCGCGCCTTTGGACCTCGCAATTCTCGTCGAGCCGCATACAAATTGCGGGATGTGACGGCGTAGCCGTGCCCGCCGGGGTTCCAGCTCAGTTTAGCGGGCAGTCCCTGGTAAGCGTCGTTGCAAACAAATTAATGCACCCGAACATCCCAGCACTTGGCCTCGGAGCCAGATTCCGTATAGAGGCGTCTTCCCTCCTTCCAGGGCCAGGCTCCCAAGCTCAACGTCCACCATGGTTACTTGACATCCTCTCAACCGCCTGGCCGGGTCGACCAGATGGGCCACAGTATCTAGAGGGGCCGAGGGGATTCTGCGAGGGAGGACAGCCGCCCGCTCAAAGGCGCCAGCAACCTGCCAACATGCCTGGGAGGTCTGGGAGGAGGCCTGGAAGACTGCAGACGTGCGGTGGGTGAAGAGGGGATGCCCCCATGAAGTCATTTGCTTGTTCGGTGGCCTATCGTTTCAATGATATTGCAGGCCCCGTCCGCTTCAGGTGAGCGTTGGCATGCATTAGCACACAAACGCGTGCAGATGAAGCCGAGATATTCGGACGGTTCGTGAGATTTGTTCAAATTTCCTCATCTTCACTCGTCACTCTAGTCTCTATCTGGATCCGTACGCAGACGCTTCTCTTTCGCGACTAGCCCCTCATCACGATATCTTCTCCTTCCTTTTTCCCTTGCCGCCCTCTTGGCGCCGGGGCGTGCACATTTACCCATCCATCCTGGGCCCAGTGACAACCCAATGCTGAGGGTGTTCGTGGACGCTTATGTTCTGTATCCGTACGCCTCATGGATCTGACCGAGACAGCCGTCCTGTCTCAATCTTGATGAACCAGAAAGCAAACTTGGATTACCCCCATCTGCCAACTCCGCCTATCTGTTGACTGCGATCCTTGAAACAAGATGGGATGATGAAATACCTGGTCCAAGGGCCACGCTGGTAGGAGCGCGGGGGTCACTGTGGATGCGGCCGGCCAGAGGTTAGGGAGATAGTGCTCGTCTCCAAAAGCTTCCAGAACAATGTCCAGAACCTGCGTGTTGTGGGTAAGGCAGAACGGAATATGGGCAATGAGAAATCGGCACCAGCCCGCAACAGCTGTCCGAACACTCAAAACATCATTCTGGCTCGTGGCCCGCAATCCCGCTGGTTCCCTTGTGACCTTATGTAAGCAGGCTCCGCCGAGGTATCCCTCAAGATGACATAATCCTTAGTGGTTCATGTCTTCCTGATGACTAAGGTCGCGGAACATGATGGCTGTCACGTGCACCTTCGCCGGCCCATCGGAGCTTGCAGCTTGACGACCGTCTGTCACGGTCCGGAAAATTCCATACCATCACGGCCAAACATTCAAATCACCTCTCCAGCCATTGAGGCCGCAATCATGGGTGCCAGCGAGTCAAAGCCGTCCTCCAGCACGCCTCCACACCTGTGGAAGGCGTAAGTTCATCCCAATTGCCCCCCCGCTCGCAGAATCCGTCGGCTGATCCAATACGCGCGTAGCAGCTCGCCCAGCGGCATCTCCCACGACCTCGTCGAGTCCCTGCAGACCAGCCATGAGGTAAATGCTGCCTCCCCCATATGAACCGGAACCCTCCCGATGAAAAGCTCTACATCAAATGCCCCAATCGGAGTTTAGTCCTCCGCCTCGACGTTTTCCATCCATACTTCATCCCTCACCCCCGTTGGCGCATCTATTCCCGCAATAAGTCAAACCTCCTCAAGCTAACCTCTCGCCCCAAAACAAACAGACCGACGCATCCCGCACGCAACTCACCGAGATCCAAATCCAGCGCCGCGTCGCCGAGGAGCTGAAGCGCCTGCAGGCCAAGGAGTCAGAGGCCCTCCGCCTCGCCCACGACAAGATCGCTACCGAGGACAAGCCCGCGCCCGAGGGCCAGCGCAGCCACGAGAGCGTCAAGAAGGAGGTCGAGGTCCTGCGCGCCAAGCTGGCCGAGCGCAAAAAGGTGCGCGACCTGCCCGAGGGCGTTGAGACGGCGCGCGGCAACGTCGTGCGGTGTCTGCGGGATAATGACCGCCGGCCGCTCGATTGCTGGCAGGAGGTTGAAGCTTTCAAGGAGGAGGTGAAGCGGTTAGAGAAGGGGTGGGTTGAGAAGATTGTCTCGTGAGTTGGTGAAGGGGGAGGATTATGCTTGAGTCCCTTCTTTTCTCTGGGTCTCCCTGAGAGGCCCTGGGAGGAGATGGACTTGATGAAGGTTTTCTTTTTTGCGTTTCTTGTGGGCCATGAAGGGGGTTAGAGAGATGCGCTGGATCAAGAGAAGAAGCAGGGCAGTAGGTCGTGAAAGTGTAACAACATGCTACTGGCGGGCAAATGATGCAAGAGACAAAAGTGTTTAGATGGCGAATGAATTTTGGTTCACATCACCTCCCCCTTAATGGAAGTCTTTTATTTTTGGTTACTTTTCATATCTCAGTCAATAGCTCTATCGGCCCTTGTTCCTCTGACGGAGCCTTCTGCTCTTTCTGCTGCTCCGTCTTCAGTCTAGCAGCCAATACCTCCTCCTTCCGCCGCAGACCCTCGGCCCTCTTCCGCTCCCTCCTGGCGTCAGCGTCCTCCCACGCGGCGCCGCCCTCGCCCATCTTTGGCGGGGGTCCGGCGACGGCCTCCTGCAGAGCGGTGCGGAACCGCGCGATGCGGGCGGCGTTCTCCACGAAGCGCTCGTTGGCGATATAGAGCAGGTCGCGGAGGTAGTCTGGCGTGACGGTGCAGTGCCGGCGTGCGGTGCCAGCGCTGCCTTCGGTGGCGTCTTCATCGACGTAGCCGATTAGAGACTCGAGGGCGAGGCCCATTGTTCTTACGCCCACCATTGGCGTCACGGGTGATGACGATGACGACGAGGCCGAGGCATCGTCATCGTCTTCGCCTTGTGATGCGGTGGGGAGGAGGTTCAGGGCGCCGCTTTCGCGGAAGCCTGCTGCGAGGGCGCATTTGAGGAGGAGCTGGGCGTGGGATAGAGATGCTGTGAGGACGTGGAGGATCTATGCCGGGGGTGGAGTGGTATGTCAGTCATGTGAGTCTTGTTCACCTGTAGAGTTGTCAGGTGTGGGGGAGTTTGGTGGTAGTGAGTGCCTTGGTGTGAGGCGGGTAAGATTAGGTGTGTGTGTGTGTGTATGTATGTGTGTCGGTGTAAATGAAATCATGCATGAGAGAAAACGGGGGACGGCCTTGCATACCATGGGCTCGAATTTGAAGTGAACAAGCCGCTTCCGTCGCCCAGACTGAGAGCGACCCGATACTCCGACAGCCTGTCCAGGTTCCTGTCCTGCTCCTCTGCCAGCCTCTTCGTCCACGAGACCAAACAAGCGCAGCAGATCCTCGTCGTTGTTGTGCGATCCGGGGACGGGATCATGCGATACGAACAGCCACGTGCCTCCGCCTCCCTTTCCCCCGGGTCCAGCTATCGTCTCGAGGACCGCGGCGGCAGGGGTACCATCGCCTTGGTTGTCTTCAGAAGATGATGGGACTGCTACTGCAGCTGCTGCCGCTGCCCGCTGATCCGTTCCCGCAGCTCCTCCTCCCGCCTTACGCCCTTCGAGGAACACGCTGACGCGCCCCGCGCAGCTGCTCGTCGTGACGAAGCCGTCGAGGGCATTGAGCTCGTCAATCAGCTCGCGGATGCCGACATCCACGGACCCCTTGGGCGAGGCGTCGGTGTACTCTGCGTCGGGCACACTGAGCTGTTCCAGGATCTTGTGTTTGCGGGTGGTGAAGGTCGCTGGTGGGACGGGCAGCTGTTGGTGTCCTTGCTTCTTCTGCTGCGGTGCCATGGTGCTGCTTTCCCTCCTATGCTCTTAGGTACCTTAGACTTGGTAGAAATTCATGCGACCTTGGACTTGAGTGTATTGTGGTGGGGTGTTTTTTTCAACGGAGAGGGGTGTTCCTCTCACTCAACCCGGTGAAAGAAGTCCTTGGTGGCACTAGGTGTTTCTCTTCTGCAGCTTGACTGATTCGGTTGCTGTGAAATGGAAGAAGACAGGGAGGTCGGGCGTGCGTGGGGCGTTGGGCGTTGAGCTGGTTTTTTTGACGCTGGGCTTGCGTGTAAGTGAAGTCTGCCCGCAAGCCAGACTCATGTGAAATGAAAAAAGTGTGCGGTCGTCAGTTCTGTGAGGTATCCCGGCCGTGCGATTTCGTTACTCTGTACACAGTGCATCTTCGGGGCGGAAGCCGGCGAACCCAAGCTTCTTTTATATTACCCTACCCTCCGATGCTACCCTAGGAAACTAGTGAACCAGAGAAGATTTTCTTTGAATCAGGTTATTTAATACGTATGGTGTTGCGTTTTTGATATATCATCTGACTTGACCGCTGCCAAGTCGGTGATCGATGTCCCTAGCTGTACGTGTATGTGCTCCGTTCATTCGCCCGACGGCGCCGGTATCTTGGATGCCCAGAGTCTGCGGTATACTGCTTATCGTAGGACTCTGATTCTGCTTCCTGAATACGTGCCTGATTTGATGCAGGGGAGACCTCGGGAGAGTCCGAACATGTGGTGCACTCATTTGATTTACGTCCGGGTAAAATGACCTGGAAATCGCTCATGTCTGTTGCGTCAGCTGATCTCGATGATACTTTCAAGGGCTCTCTGCTGCCATGATATCATGCAGCGAACAAATTATCACTATCCTACGGTTCGTTGTGGCGAAACGTCGTGTATAATAGACGGAGATGATGACTAGATAGAAAGAAGAATCGTGACTTTTGCCACCTACGAGCAATACATATCGCCTAAATATCCATCGATACGTTGTTTGCGTCCTTGTATCTTATCCTTGGCTGTAATACTAATCGCGGCTATCTCTGACTACTCATTACGCATAGTCGTTGGATTATGATTAGATGGCATTATTTTTACAATTAACTGACCTGGCCATGAAAGCAACAACGTTTCTAATTTTCTTGAGGTATCACATCTTTAGACATTACAGTTGGAGAAACTCTTAGTTACCTAAGCAAAAAAGAGCAATGCAGGTTACTCATGTACTATGAGACAGGCCTTTTGCCCGGCTGACCTTTATTATACATCATTCAAGTTATCCCGCCCATTATTCATTCTCTGTGAGCAGCACGTAGTAAGTTACGTTGAAGCTCAGTGCTCATATTGGAGTACTTTTCTGTGTGAGCAAGTACTCTACCATGAGCTTGAATCACGTTTCTTGCCTGGGTGTCAATGAGTTCGTCAGGAGCTGCTTGCGACCCAGCTTTGTGTTCAATTAGTTGGCTTGAATTGAGCTGGCCAACCAACTCCAGGCGCTTCAAGGTTTCTGTCTTGCAATGTCAAAATCACACAATCTTCCCAGTTTAATGGAGAACCATATGATTGCAGTAGTGCTTTATGAGTAACCCATCGTTGTAGATTTGGGAAGGTGGTCACGAGATGTCATCTGAACCAATCTAACTGTCAAAATTAAGCTTTGCAGATGACATGTCAGTGGGCTATCTTTGCCACACCAAAATTTCACTTAGAATGTGTTATGATCTTAAAATACACCGTCAGTGGTTTCCACTAATCCTCCGAATGCGGGGTCCCTGTGGAACACAGAGATTAGAGCCTCACCGCATCTCTTTCCTCACTTCACGTCTCAGTTAAGATCTTCAAGTTTGATTGATCGATTGATTGATTGATTCATAATGTCTCTTTTGCTTATGCTACCTACAAAGTAGAATCGAGTATCCGCCGAACGCGAGATACCTCCTGGCCCATGGCCTGGATTCATCCGGAACGCCTGCATGCTGTCCCGTACCGTCCCTTGATTTTTGTTTCCTCCCTGAACGCCGTCATGCATCATGTATATACAGGTCATTAATAAAGAAAGCAAATCCCAAATCGCACCAGAGCCAAAAAACAACGCTGCTAGATCGATGCGATAGCCTGCTCCTCCCTCTCCGCCTTGACGATGGGCGCGATGGCCGCCTCGCCCTGCTTGGCCGCCTCAGCCGACGACGCGGGGGCGGCGCCCTTGGCCTCGACGGCCTTGCGCTCCATCTCCTCGAGGTACTGGGCGTAGCGCGACTTCTTGTTGTGGATGCCGCACTCGGTCTTCTGCTGGCCCTTCCAGCGGCCGGCGCGCTCGTCCTCGCCCTCCTTGACGGGGACGGTGGAGTGCCAGTCGCCGACGGACTTGTAGCCCTGGTCGAGGAGGTCGTTGTAGGGGACGTTGTGGGTTTTGATGTACTCTTGCACCTGCTTGAAGGACCAGCTGGCCATGGGGTTGATCTTGATGACGCCGCGCTCGTCGTCGACCTCGATGACGGGCATCTTGTCGCGGGCGCCGCCCTGGGAGCGGCGGCGGCCGGTGAGGATGGCGGCGACGCCGAGCTCCTGGTAGGCGCGCTGGAGGGGCTCGACCTTGGCGATCCAGTCGTACATCTCGGCCTCGGTCTCCCAGAGCTTGGGGCCGTACATGGCCTCGAACTCTTCGGTGGAGGCGACGCCGTAGGGCTTGAAGATGTGGAGGGCGACGTTGGGGTAGCGCTCCTGGATGCGGTCGACGAGGGTGTGGGTCTCCTTGAAGTGGTAGAGGGTGTCGAGGAAGATGAGGTCGACGTTGGCGGCGGAAGGGTTCTCCTTTTGGATCTTGGAGAGCATGTCGAGGGTGACGAGGCCGGTGAGGCCAAAGGCGGTCGACTGGAAGAGGTTGGGGAACATGATCTTGGAGAAGCGGAGGATGTCGAGGGGGTGCATATTCTCGAGCTGGTCGTTGAGGTGCTTGAGGTGGGGTTGGGTGAGGGAGATCAAGGGGAGCGCGGGGATGGACGACGATGTCGATGAGGCATCTGTGGCGGAACCATATCCGGACTCGACTTCGACGCGGTCAAGCTTTGCCGCATCGGCGGCGTTCAACCGAGGAGACGACTCGACGGAGGACGTCTGCGTCGTGGGCTCAGCAACAGCAGCCATTGTGTGAGGTTATGTATGAGTTGACGGAGGAGGGGTTTTGGTGAGTGGACAGAGTGTGGTTGCGAGGCACCACGGGTATATGACGAGTAGTGGTTGTAAGAGGGGGTGTGTGTTGAAAACCCGGGGTATAATTCACTCGACAAGGCTTTGATCAAGAGACAAGATGGATAAAAGGCAAATGACGCAAGATGCTGAAGCTGGGGAAAGTGAGTTCAGATGCTCAGATCAGAGAAGAGGAAGAAGGCAGTAGTTGTTTTATGAGGACAAGAGGCACTTAAGGCAGGCAGAACTTACACCGCGAGTTAAAGAGGCGGGAAGAGGAGGACTTGTTCATATTGGGCACAGGGCATCACCAAGCAACATTACTAATTTGCTTTCCAACCCATTCTCAGACAGGAGCCCCGATCGAACCAAAGGCCGAGAGAGGGACTTAGGGACGAGAGCCCGCTTCCCAACTATTGCGCAATCGCAGCTTGTTTGGAGCATCGCATTGAACAAGCGCTGAGGAATTTGCATCTCTAAGCAAGAGGCGTGGTCTGGGAGCAATCACGACATCGACGCTAAACCTTTCGTGACGAAGACGGTGCAAGGTGATTGGTCATAGGTCGCAGGGGTTGCTCCGTACCGTCGAACATCCCGCAATTGCGCCATCGCCCCGGACGCCGGAGTGGATGTTGACAATGGCAAACTTTCCCCAACAGCCGGCCCCGAAAGCCGGGAGCCGTGACGTTCAGAGTATAGATATTTGGGGCCGGACTCCTCCTCCGTGATCACCGAGGGTTGGGGTTCTCCTCATTATCTGGTTCACGATGAGCGCGGTCGAAAATAGGGGCTCAAAGGGGGAAGATCTTGTCGTTGAACAGAAACGCTGGTGTAAGTTCGCCATGATGATGCCATAAGACGTGATTTCGCCCGGGCCACTAGTCGGCTTGGCCTAGTGTATGTGGTCCCGGCAATCGGTCCTGACAAAACACATCGGCGCGGCACGGCAATCGGTACCCGCCCGGCCGTCGGTGTGGATGAGCCGGAGGAGGTGGTCTGCGCCTCTCTGTCAATGTCAGCAATCCCACGCCGGACAACGTATCTCCATCGCCCAACCAGTCACCATGCGAGTTTCGTCTCCGATCAAGGGCATCATCCATGGCTACTCGCCTGCGATATTTTCTGACAAACCCACAGTTGGGTTTCAACACCAGATGTGTTTCGACCGCTAACACCGCGGAAACGCACTTCGTTTACCGACTTGTTCCGAGAAGGAGCTTAGACATTCGCCGCGTCCAGCGCCTCTTTAAATGAATGGGGTGCGAACCTCCATCTGTCTGCGAGATCATGAGGAAACGCTCTCATTGTGATTCGGTTCAATGACTCAGAGTAGGTACTTCAACCAAGGAAACTGAGCAGACCAAGGCTTCTTGGACCCTTTTGTTTCTTGGCCAACATTTCGACATCCACAAGTGACCGGAGATGTGTTGGCAGGGACAGCTGTGAGGGCTTCCACTTGGATGACCGCTCATTCATCATCCTGCGCCGTTGTCTGCCTCCCTTGGCCAAAGCAGAAGCAGACGCAGATGGAGAGGCAGACAGACATGCCGATTACGGCTCCCTGCCGCTGCGCCGTTCTGGAAAGAGCGTGGAGTCTAGGCTCCGGACAGATGGCATCTGGCCTAGTCTCCATGATGTGGACAGTGTCTGGTGTTCGGTGTCTGGTGCAAGCGTGCGTCTTATTTCCGCGCGGCTCCGGCTCTCTATCAGCGGAGCCAGCTCCTGAAGCAATGATCAGTTTTCGGTCGACGCGGTGACTGGTGGATGACAAACCTGCCAGCGGACGAAAAAAAAGCCAAGGCCAGGCTGTACTGCGTGCCTGCCAATGACCAACACAGTAGGTGACCAAGGTAGGGTAAGGTGCGGCAGGCCAGTGCGTGATTCTGCGTACGCTAGTACGGCGATAGGGCTGTCCTGGCATCGTTCCTGACGCTCCCTTCCCTTGACGACCAGCGTCGGTACATAGATTCGGGCGAGGCTGATGGTCCCGCAGATCGTCGGAAGGGTGACTTTCTCATACTTGGCTTCCAGCTCACGTGTTCGGACTTCTGGCCAAAGTTTTCTCCTTTCACCCTGGACGGAACCCGGAGATGACTGACCGACCTCACAGTGATGTAATTGAGCCTCACCATGTCATTCGGATCGGGCCTCCTTTCCCCCCTTCAGCTTATCAGAAGTTCAGAAAAGAATTTTAGGAGGGGTAACCACGTGATTCTGGCGTCCACTTTGGGGAAAACCACGGTCCACGGCTCAAGGAAGGTCCCACGGGAGAGCTTGCCATGCGACGCCTAGCTCAGCCAATGGCGCGCCGCCCAAGACGTCGGGACACGGGAGTTGCGGGGCCTCGTTCGGATCCGGACCAGTGACGGCGAGGCGGGGCGCACAGTCAGACTTCACAGTGCACCAGCGCCCGCCAGCCCTCCGCCGCGAGGCCCCATCCTCTCTCTCTCTCTATCGTCTGTCGTCCAACCACGCCAATATGTTTTACCTTTCGAAACAATGAGGGCTACTAAGTTGAGCTGAGTCTTTAAGCTTCACGTTCACCACCACGCCGGGCCCTGAGCTTCTGTCTTTACCCCTCCTCCACCTCTCTCGCGCTTTCTCTCTTTGTCTCCCCGCAATCTTCCAAGCCGCCGCTGCCGTCGCCGACAGCTGTTGCTGAAGGTCCCTTCCACCTCCTGCATCGTCCTCTATCCGTCCCGTCTCTCAGTGTCCCGTTCACCCTCCGTCCCAGCCTTGTCTCCGTCTCGGACCACCGTAGTTTGAGCCCGCCGTAGAGAAAATATACGAGAGAAATCATTTACGCCATGGCCGACGCAAGCCCCGCCAAGTCGACAACGTCGCCCCGACCTCAGCTGACCTCGTCCATGAGGAGCAGCTCCTTCCTGCGCGAGCACCAGCAGTACCGGCCTCCCCAGCACCCAGAGAGCCGCTTCGGCATCGACACTGTCGTCGAGGACCTGAGCAACGTCTCCGTCTCCCCGCCAAAGCAGCACAACCAGAACGCCAGCCACAAGCACTATGCGGGCTTCAACGGCATCCCCTCGGAGGACAACCCGCCCACTATCCGCAGCGGCCTGAACCACAGCTACTCGCACCCCAATTGCGCGCCCGCGGGTGGGAAGAAGCAGTCGCGCCTGGTGGCCACGCTCTTCTATAAACCGAACAGCGGCGATAGCGTCGGCCACCACACGACGACAGCGGACGGCGGAGCAAGCGGCAGCCGTGTCGCATCCCCCCCGACCCTCACCTCCGACAGCGCCAGCGGCAAGGAGTCCCTCCCGGCCAACTTCGCGCCGACCCAGGACCCCGAGTCCTTTCCCCTCGAACCCCCGACCCTCGAGCCCGAGAAGCTCGACCACCTGTACGGCTCCCACGTCTCGCCCATGTGCGTGACCTCGTTCCTGCACCTCATGTCGACCTTCCCTCTCCCAGCCGGCGAGTCCGACTACAGCTCCTCCCACCGCTGCCTCGACAGCCAGGAGAACCCGCGCGTCGTCGAGCTGACCCTCGACCCGGCCCCCTGCCAGAGCTACCTCAGCCTGACGGACCTGCGGCGGCACGAGCTCATCTACCGCTTCGAGAGGGAGTGGAGCGTCGACGTCGCGCTGCAGCCCGACACCCTGTGGCGCCGGCACCCACGCCTCGTAGTCTTTGACATGGACAGCACCCTCATCACGCAGGAGGTCATCGACCTGCTCGCCGCGACGCTCACGGACCCGCCCGACCTGGCCGCGCGCGTCGCCGACATCACGCACCGCGCCATGCTCGGCGAGCTTGAGTTCGACGCCGCGTTCCGCGAGCGCGTGCAGCTCCTCAAGGGTCTGCCCGCATCCTGCTTCGAGCAGCTGCGGCCCGTCCTGGACGTGACGAAGGGCGTGCCCCGCCTGATCAAGGCTCTGAAGCGCCTCGGTGTGAAGACCGCGGTGCTGTCGGGCGGGTTCCTGCCCCTGACGAGCTGGTTGGCTGGCGAACTGGGCATCGACTACGCGCACGCCAATGAGGTTGTCATTGACGATGCTGGAAAGCTCACTGGAGAGGTCAAGGGTCTTATTGTGGGCAAGGAGCGGAAGCACGATCTGCTGATTGAGATTGCGGCCAAGGAGGGCATCGATCTGTCGCAGGTCGTTGCCGTGGGCGATGGCGCAAACGATCTGCTGATGATGCGCGCGGCGGGCTTGGGTGTTGCGTGGAACGCTAAGCCGAGGGTGCAGATGGAGGCTGATACGAGACTCAACAGCGAGAGCTTGTTGGACTTGTTGTACCTCTTTGGGTTCACGGGAGATGAGATTGAGCAGCTCGCCTCGTAAATTGGCCGGCGGCTTATGTAGACTTGTGTGGGTGTGGGTGTGGGAGTGGTGTTGTGGGCGTCAGTCGAATGGTGGGTGTTTTGGGTAGTTGGGTGACACCGAGGCAAGGCATTGCTGTTTTTTTGGGAGAATTTTTCTTACTCGCCCTCATGATTCAATTGCATGCCATTGAGCTTCCTGCTGCGAAGATGTTGAGATGAAATCTTCCTTCATGAGTCTCCGAGCATATAAAATCGGCCAACGTCGCTTGATGAGCCGCGAGGCCGAGTGATGTAGTTTCAACTTTGGAGATGCTGTCCTAGGTAGAAAAACGTGGATAAAACTGAATTCTCCCTATCTACACATGAAAACCACCTTCCGCCAGTTGCACATACTGTGCAAAAACACATCTTATCAACGCAGGTATCTCTAATTCTTTAAGGGTAGCCGTCCTTGCCCCACTTGTTGTACTTTTCGTGCAATTCCTGTGTCATGAAGCGTCAGCTCGGCTATCTCCTCCGGCTGCAAATCCCGACGAATCCCGGGCCTTGGAGCAAAGTCGACCTCCCAAGAACGGAGTCTCTCCGTCGTGGCGGGATCAATCAGAAAAGGTATGTCAGACGAACCTTGGGGAGAGTGACATCGGGAATGATGACAGTGTTGACGGCG